GACTAAGCTCACGTCCAAAAAATTAAAGATTTGGTGCTGACAAACTGTCGATTTACAATTATATGCTTCAAAGTATTATTAAGCTCCCTTGCTGAGGATGTTGGAATTTCAAAGGGATCGGTCAATTCCACTTTGGGCCTCAAACGCGTCAAATCTCGATTGGTACCGAAAACACTGAATTCGTCAGCTCACACAGCAGTGATTCTTCGTGACGTTTTCGCCCGAAATGAAACTCATATCGTTCCACAACCACTGTATTCCCCTGAGTTAGCATAGCGCCACTTCTGGCTATTGCATAAACTCAAAAGACCACTCTTGGGACACCGTTTTAAATCGACTGTAGAGACATTTCAAAAATCGCCGGAATCCGTTTTAGCATCTCACAAAACCAAGCTTAACTCAAGCACTAATGAATATTTTGACGTAACATTTCACACAGTTGTCAAGGACAGTGCCGACAACCTAAAAAAAAAAAAAAAAAAAAAAAAAAAAATGAAATACCACATTACCGGGAAATTTAAATTGAAAACTGATTTTACTTTATGGACACAGTAGTAGATAGATGGTTTGTAGAATCTCATAGACATTAATCCCTTAGTGTTACAATGAAATGAAAATAAGTTAATGATACTTATTGTCTAATGTAGAGAATAGTACTAATATATAACATAATTGTATATTTGCCTTCCAACAAATAAAACATATAGTTTTCTTTTTCTATTACATAATCCCCCTAACTTAAGGAAGCTTATCAGATTAAATAAGATAAGTTTATAGAAACAAATAAGACCACATGACCATAAGATCACAGAGACCTCCCTGCGTTGCATTATTTCAAAAAAAGGTGAACAACCCACATAAAAGGAATAGCTGTTAAGATTCTCACCTGATAAGTTTTAAATACCACGCTAATTTACTTCTCTGGTTACATAATTACTGGTAACCACCAAAACGAAGAATGCGACACAAACAAGGCGTGTTAATGCAAACAAAAAAAAAAAAAAAAAAAAAACTCCACAACCCATTAGGAGATTTGAGGCCTTTAATAGCTTAAAGAGTTATTAGCGGAAACCCTCTTGCAAGCAGACTAAAAATAAAACTTAATTCAATATATCACGGTCGCTAATGCAGTGAGGAGTTACACAAATTGTATGCAAATTTGTTCCCTGGGGGGTTAATTCGGAATAATAAACTGACTCGTGGTTAGTGGGTGGGATGACGAAGTAAATATTGCAGAATGGTGAGCTTGCGAAATACACTGGAGACTATTAGTAGCTTTTAGCGTTATTAAAAAAACATTTTCGATTTCTCTCTGAACTTAGGATTGCGTAGTTGCAGAAGTGTTGTTCTAATAATTGGAGGAAATGTCCAGTGTCTGAGAAGGTTAATTGACTGGATAGGGATGGTACTTTCAGAAAAACAACGACAACAATTTCGGTTTGAAATGGAGGATTTGCGATGGCTTTTAAATTGCAATGGATAATTAACTTGCATCATAAAATAATACTTTAAAATGGATTTAGATAAATAACTAAAAAGTCAAAGAGTTATCTCAATTTCTCTGTTTTCTGGTGTTTTCAGTTTTTAATGAAGCACTTTGAAGGTAATAAATATAATTAACATTATTTGGAATAATTGAGAATGTAAAACAGTTGATATTTAAAGTGTATTAACATACAGAGTTTTATAAAAGTAAGTTGATGAAGTATTTAACTTTTGATATCCATAAATTGTTTGGATTAATCCTTCTTCGTCATTGGCATAATAGCCCTTTGGTGGGCCAAGGCCGGAACCTATGGTTTAAAGTGGATACAGAACTACTACAAACATCGATGTGAGACTGTGGCACCGAGCGCCAGTCAGTCTGCCATCAGGCCACGTTTAGATTAATTTGGTGAAATGAAACTACCTGTCAAGAATAACAATATTTATTATCCCTTCCACTCGAAAATACTTAAAATAGATTAATTAAATAAATTAGATGTCAAAGTTGAGCTTTAAACAGTAAAAAAAGAATTAATTCACTTTTAAGGTGCACACTGACATTTATTTAAACTCTGAAAACACTTAATGTAGATTCTCAATGTTGTTACCAAGGGTACCGCTAACCATTTATACCAGCGAATATAACTGGCGCAACCACTTGAAGATTCCTGGTGTCTTGTTTATCTTATCCACTGTAAAAAGTATTGGGCGAAATATTCCACAGAATCCACAGGCATCTCATACACCAATGGACGGACGTGAGGCCTTTTAAAAAAAGCATTTGATTTGTCTGTTTTTTTCTACAGGACCTTAATGACCAGAACCAATCAACAGCAAGTGTCGAGGCTGTGTTTTTACATTGGAAATTTGCATACAAAGAGTGCTTGACAGTGATGTTGAGATATACTATTTCTTTTGGGATGCTAAACAGTACGTCATTTGGCCCATGAAAGAAAAAATGACACCAACGACGACTTGTACTTGTTGGACGTGTTTTGGAGTCTTTTTTTCTGACATTCAGAGTGGAATGAGACCCTAAGTTCCATTGTAAATGTTGATTGTCTTTATCACTTCTCTAATTTTGCTAAGACAGTTTGAGAACATCTTGTATATAATCATTACTAATTTTAAAAGAAATATAATTAAAAAATTATGTCAGGCAAATTTCCCAGCTGCTCGCCTTAGCATATATCAATATAATTTAAAAATTATTATGAAAAGTACTTTTTCAAAAACTTTCAGAATTTGATAAAAGATTAAAAAATGGAATATGAGTTACTTTTTATTTATTAAAAAAGATTTATTCTTAACTATTAGGAGGAGGATAAGAATTGATAATAACGTGCCAACCTAGTTGCAGATGTAGATTTATATTATTTTATTTATTCATTGCCTAATAAAGGGTTATCTTTTTTATACACTATTACGCAAAAATTAGCCATCAGCGAATGTTAGTTTCAGCAATTCATTAGTCATCATACAGAATAGTCAAAGACATGTTTTATTTTAAAATTACGTTCAATAAAATAGTTTTGATTATTTCAAGATAACGTTAAGCTAAGAACAGATTAGACATCGATAAATGTTTGGTTCAAAGGTACATTAGATACTTTATACATGAAAAACTCATTTTTTACTAATTTTGAGGCATTGAATAAAAAAATGATAATTAAAATTGACAGCTGGCTCTTGTTTAGGAAATACGAGGTAGTATTTTCCCTCAGTTTTGTTGAAATACATGCGAAAAGGAAATATGAGAAAATTTATATAATTTTCTATAATATAGCCTGTAAATTATATAGTAAATTAATATTTACATAGAAGAACTATGTAAACATTAATTTACATTACAAATTTAGAAAGAAGGTTCCTAAAACATCGATTTTTTTTAAGCTTTAAACTACTGTCGAGTAAAATATTTGATTTTAATTAGTCTGTAGGAGACGACGGTACTCATTCATGTTTTTGCTCTAAAAATAAAAATATGATAGTTGTTAGTTGTACGCTGTGTTTTGTGTGAGAAAGAAATTATGCAGTGAACTTGCGATTTTGTTAAGCATATTATATTTTTTAAAGCTGTGCATCCACTAAGAGCGGATGCAAAATTTCAGATCAGGAGAAACCCTAGGCCATACATATATGCTGTATTTCTAGTTCAAGGAAACTTTCCATGTGGCTGCGAGCAAAAAAAATGACAATGCAATTTGCCATTCTTATGCTTATATGGAACAAAGTAATCAAGTAAATTACTGGTACTTCTGCATGGTCCAGTCTCCTCGTGGTGAAATCATGAAGGGGAAAAAAATCGAAAGTGCAGTACTCGAATATACATTCTGCTATGCTATCAATTCCCCATTGTGCCGGATTTTCCATTAAGGAAACTCCAAATTAATTTTTCATTGATCCATAGGAAGACCAAAAATCAATTTCATGTGATGCTCTACAGTCTTCTACATCTAGTACTGCATATAATGAAGATGCTAAACTTACGTCCTACATACTGATTTAAGAAGAACTAAATAACCATGTTAGAAATCTTGACATGTTCATCACTAAAGCTGAGTTACTGGCATTGAAAAACTCAGAGAATATGATTTACTTTAGGAAGATATCAGAATGACTTTGTTTCTCAATCGTTATGAGTAATTTATGCTTACAAGGTTTTATCTTCTAATATGAAAAAAAAATTTGTTTTCTTCTCTGATGTTCAATAACATAAGGACGGCTCTTAAAATATAACATTGACTTTCGCAATGGCGACTAATCATAGACTCATCCAAAACAAGTCTCAAAGCAGTATTGCTGCATAATGAAAACCAACTATCATCCATTCCTGTGGGACACAACGAAAGGAACTGACAAAAATTTAAAACGTTTGTTGAACTTCTATCATTTCAACAATTACAACTGGTATATATATTGTGATTTGAAAATAGTAGTTCTCTGATGGGTCTTCAATTAAGACATACCAGTCCAGCTGATTTTTATGGGAGGGGGGACAGTGGAGTCAAAACTTTGCACTATGTAAAAAAAATGGCCTACTAGAAAAAATATGATAGTGGAGAGAGGAATATGCCACATGCATCATTAGTAGAGGGTAAAAAAATCACACTATCCTCCTGGCACACAAATCTTTGCTTAATGAAAAATATTGTGAAATCCATGGACAAGAATGGATCAGTCTTCAAGTATCAAGTTAAATAACAAATTTCCTGAAATCAACTAAGCCTAACTAAAATAGAAAAACTGTACTGATCCATAGATTCATAAGCTGTTTAAGGATTCAAATTTTGATAGTGGGCTCCAACAAATGGAAAAGAAGCTTGGAATACTTTTCGCCTTTTGTGAACGAATTTCTTAGGGAATGTGAAGTCAAATGACTAAATGAGGGACATGTTATCTGCATACTATACAAGAAACTTTGTTGCATTACGTCTCTAAACATATACCATACTATACATTTTATTTTCTTTCTTGGAAACTCTTCCCAGGTTAGAGATGAACACGACGAGCGTTTTCAGAAGGAAGACACGAAAATTCGTTAGATCACCGAAGTCAAGCGTCATTGGGCGCTGTCAGTACTTGGGTGGGTGACCACCTGGGAACACCGCGTGCCGTTGGCAAATTTGGGACCTGATTGGCCGAGTGTCTAGAGCTCTAGCGCTCGGTGCCACAGATTTCGGGTTCGAATCCCGGCGGTGCCATGGATGTTTGTAGTGGTTCGGAATCCACTTTAAGCCGTAGGTCCCGGTCTCCTATGACTGTAAGAGCGTCACGGAGCAAAAGTCAGGCTTCTACCTACGGGTGCTCCATCACAACAGAAGCTGGTTCTTTCCCCTTCAATCATGAGTACGTATGGGCTCGTGAGCTTGGCCAGTCAAGTGGGATAAGAAACAACAACAACAAGACACGAAAATAGAAAAAAATAACATTGAAAATGATGCATTACAATAATGGCAGACTACTATTGGACAATTTTCAATGTTGATTCTGAGAAAATTCATAAGCGATAATCCAGTCGACTCCGTAAAATAGAATAAACAGGTGCATTCATAGTAAATTAACTGTGCATACATTATCGATAAACAGTACACATGTACCTTTGTTGACATATTGTTTAATATTGAAAACATGAAGTTGCAAATATCTTAGGAAAGGAAGCGAAGTCCAAATTTTCTTTGTTGAGCAACACAAAATAAGTAAAAAATGGATATTCCAATTTCCAAGAAAATCATCGAAATTTGTTACCAGGATTGTTACAATGATTGTATAATTATATTGATTGCAATAGTTGAAAAAAATTAAGAATAACGATGGTATGTAAAAAATATTTAATTGCTTATAGTGAAACTTTCGTTTTAAAAAAATTATTTAAACATTAACGACAAATTATTGTATTTAAAAAATATAATGATGAAAAAGCTTCATTACGAAATTAGTAGAAGTAAAAAAAATAAATAAATAAATAAATACAAAATTTGATGGAAGATAAAAATAATTTTTACAAAAATAGATAATTTATAGACAAAAAAAAAAAAAAAAAAAAAAAAATTCAAGAAAGTAGATAATTCAAAAGGTTATATGCATAAAGTAACATTTAAAGAATATACATATTTAGAATATCCACATTACGTCGTAATAGACCAAATATATATTGGAGGAAGAATTAAAAGAAAATTTCCTTTTATGTAAATTTTATAAGTTCTATAGAACGCAAACAATGTAGATTTAGATAATATTGTTAAGAGTAATATAAATTTATTAATATAAATTATTAGAGGATTTACAGAATCTTATTTAAGAAATGATGACATTGAAAAAAATTTTTGATTTATAAGACTAATCTATCATAAATATTTAAAAAAACTATATATTTGATCCATGATGACTAAAAAAGTAATTTGTTACAAATAGAAAAATAATTTTTTTACTGATAGGAAATGATTTTTCCATCATCATCGTCAGTGGCGCACCAGCCCCATGCTGGACCAACGCCGTCTGCCTAGTGGCAGATTTGTCAGCTCTATGCCCAACGCTCTACAGCCATATTTATTAGACCGAGAACTACGGTTTAAAGGGAATTCCGAATCATTATAAACATCCATGGGGTCGCCGGGACTCGATTCCGAAACCTGTGCCACCGAGCGCCAGAGCTCTAGTCACTTGGTTATCGGCTTCTAAATAATCTTTTACTGTTAGCAAATTATATTTTTACTAGTAGAAAAATTCTTTTTTTCTCATAGCAGATAAATTATAAAATATAATAATATAATATATATATATTTATTTATATTATATGAAATAGAAATAGATATTTTATTTTTTTTTCTTCATAATTTTTAAATAGTTCAATTATGTAACAATTTTTAAAAATATAAATTTTTTCATAACTTCCTTTTGAAATCCTAATTTATATACTTAAAATTCTTCTTGATATAATTCTTCAATTCTTCTATACATCTTCAATTCTTCTCTCATTTATAATTCTTCTCTTACATATGTTCCAAATATAATTTTATTATCCTTTTTTGTGGAATTTTTGTAATAATTTCGATTTGGCCTGCGTTAGGATCAAATTTGTTTTCATAATAATTAATCAACTTTCTATTTTTATACCATTTTTTATTTTATTTTCCACTTAGTTTACGTATTTTCGTCCCCTAGAAATCTTCTGAATTTTTATCTACAATAAATCCCCAAAACAAACCCCATCAATAAGTTCCTTGAATTTATTCATAACATCATAATTTTGTTAAGTAAACCATTTTAATAAATACGAAATCAAAATTATTATTTAAAAACTTTTTTTATAAGATTACTTTTATAAATATTAAATTATGTTTTTTCTATGTCATGATTTATTAAATCAGTTTGTGTATATTTATTTAATAATTTTATATTATTTAATTTATTATTTTAATAACATTATACAGATCTATAATGTTTGTATTAGTAAATTATAAATTTCATAATAAAATATGTATAAAAGGAAATTTTTTTTCAACTTTATTGTATCGTATACTGTCGCTATTTATTAGTCTTCTCATGACATTAGAGAATTTTTGCATACCGTACGTTAGTTACCGTAGGACGTCCGTTAGCTTTTTCTCCCTAGCGCGCATGCTCATAGGAAACATAATTTCCTATTATTTAATTTATTATTTTAATAACATTATACAAATCTATAATGTTTGTATTAGTAAATTACATTTAAAAGAAAAAGCTAACGGACGTCCTACGGTAACTAACGTATGGTATGCAAAAACTCTCTATTATAAATGTGAAAAACATATAGATTACGATGGTACAAAATTATTAAACAAATTTTAAACATAACACAGAAAAATCTTAAAAATCACCCTTTTTCTGATATTTGAAAACAACAAAGACTGAGTTGGAATTGAAGCAGGAGTCATACATGATATTTCTCATTTATAAAATTGGTTTATTTTAAAAAATAATAAAGATAATTAAGGAATGGGTACTAAGGTATTTCTAAGATATTTCATTAATATCATGTTTTAATTTGATTTCAGAATTAGAATATTTTTTTATTATATAATTAAATTTCGAAATTTTATAGACTTTATCATAAATCTCATTAGAAATACATAAACTATACTTAATAAAAAATTTTTTTGTAAATATATTCCAGATATTATTTTATTGTTTTATGTCTCGTTCTCGATAAAAAGATGGCTGGAATACCCTCCATTTTTTTAATATAATATTTAATTCATTTTCATTTTTTAATGTAAAACTTAAATTTTATTCTTTTATTATGGTATTCAACCAATTTTTAAATATCTTTTTTATCTGTAATAATTTTTTTGTAATAATTTTGATTTGGCCTGCATTAGGATCAAATTTGTTTTCATAATAATTAATCAAATACCTATTTTTATACCATTTTTTATTTTATTTTCCACTTAGTTTACGTATTTTCGTCGCCTAGAAATCTTCTGAATTTTTATCAACAATCAATTAAAGAAATTATCAATTTAATATTTTTTATTTATTATCAATCCAAACCATCCAAAATAAAGAAATTACCTACAATTTACTCATAACAGAATCTGATTAATGATGGATTTATTTCGTTAAGTAAATTAGTTTTGTAAATACTTTTTAAAACCAAAAAACATAAATATCATTTTTTAAAATTTTTATCAGATTTTTGTATTTTATGTTTATTTACTTTGATACAGTAATGGCGTAATTATCTTGCTAAAGGACATTAAAAATAAACCAAACTACATATATTTTGCAATTGTAGAACTAATTGATTTTTCAAGAAAATGAAATGAAGATTGTGTTTAAATACCTCTTGAATATTTAAAAGCATTTGAACAAATGAAAAATAAAGAAATATCTTAACTTATGTAGAAACTTAACTATGAAACATATTTATTTTGAAGTTAAAGAAATAATATCAAGAATAATATTTTAAGAAAAATTAAAAAAAATATTTTTTTTAATTAAAAAAATTATTTTTTTAAGGACATTTTTCTTAAATGTACTTAAGAAATTCATGACTTGATTTTTAAAAAATATCCAAATAATAGTGACTGATATGTTAAAAATTATATTAAAAAATTGCATAAATTATACAGATTTGCTTATAAGTCATATCAAATAGAAATGTTTGTTAACATACTTACTATTAGTTTAAACATTCCTATATGTATAAAAATATTAGATATGGATGTTTGATATATAAGTGTATATATTATAAAAATTATATTCTAAAACATAACTAAACTACAAAAAAAATACCAATGTAATATTTTCGGTTCGAGTGGGCACCAGATTGTAGTATTGTCGGTTATGCAGCTCTAAACTGTAACTGGATGTGGTTCGGTTGAGACTTGAGACACAGGTTTGAGAACACAAAGCTTTATTTACCCGCGCACAAACACGTCATACATACAATATTCAATATATATTCGTAGAAGGATGCAATACATTATAGACACACAAACACATTGCAGTATAGATTCGTAGAAAGAGACTAAGGTTGCGAACTTCCCAAAGCTTCTTCTTCCAATCTGTTAGCTTCAGAGGTTCATTCCATGACTTTAGCCAGAGTGAATACCTCTTGGAGGTCGCCACCAATTCATGCATGGTACGCCGCTAAATATCCTGGTATGTCCTTGCAGTGCTCCTGTCCTAGACCTGCTCAAACGGCTTTAGCTAGACTAAGGACTGGCCACACTAAGAGTTTGACCTTCAATGGAGACGAGAAGACATATACCCTTTGTCATTGTTCGGCCATCGCGTCTCCCTCTCATCTCATCGATTGTATTGGTGCCTCTGTGAGGCAACTGTTGAATGAGGGGAGGACAGTTTACGATCTATTGATGCAGCGTGATCTACTGGACTTGGTTTAGGATTCTAAATCAAGGGGATAAGCAACAACAAACAACAGAAAGAGACTTCTAAGCCGAAACTCAGGTTTAACACTCAGGTTTGCGCGGGATGCGAGAAATATACTTCCTCTTTTGGTGAGAGTCTGTATGCCAACTTATACGCAGGTTGCATTAAATATATTTCCTCTCAGGATGAGAGATAACAAACTAAATGTTTCTCAATAGAAGATAACATTTTACTTATCGTGAA